TATTTAATTTTTGGAACTACGCGACACGATTCAGTGGCAATCATCTCTGAAATTCAACATAAGGTTCGCTCGACCACAAGCGCATTGTTGAATTATTTTCGGTCTGTAGGTTCGGTCTATCCATTGAGTCTGGGCACACTCACACAGGGTTAAGATCTACCCAACACCAGTTAGGACTTGAACCCCGGACTTGAACTCAATCCAACAGCCATTACGTCACCTGCGATTGGTTTAGTGTGTGTTGTCTTTAGTTACATTTTAGACTTAAATATTCTGTCTCCCTCAGCCTGAGATTCTTGAGATAAGCCATTTGTCAAAATTCCTCTTAAACGCCTTGATAAGATTCATTAATATTTATCTTATTGTATTTTTTTATCATCTCGCAAACAGGTTGAGACATTACTTATGATGTACAAGACACACTGTCAGTGTATTTTGGACACAATTATCAACTCTAATTTTGAAGAGGTGAGAGTAATTTTGTCTTCATTTACCAAAATAAATAAATAAAACTACGTCGTCGGGATTGAGCGAACGTGTTGATATAACAAGTTCATGGTTTTGTAGAAGCGGTTACACGCAGCTAACATTAAGTTGCATATATTGTTATTATAAATACTCTTTTAATTTTTCAGATCCAGAACTTCCTTCTTCACTTCTGGCAAGGTATGCCCGAACATTTACTACCGCTACTCAGCCAGCAAGTTCTCGTCGACATGATATGCATATGTGACTCCATTTTATATAAAACGACCATAGAAGTGCTCATACCAGCAACTATGCAAGAAATGCCAGAAAGGTAAATCAATAAATGTTTATTCAATTTGTTTTATTTCCACGACGGTGGGTGACCAGGCTACCGACGGAGGGCGCCGTGTATGGTTGTAATTGCGATAACGCTGACGTCTTTCCATGATCTGCTCATAACTTACATTGTACCAGTCTTTTACCATATACCAACGGTAATTAATTTTAAGGGATCATGTTTATATCTGTTGTGAGACATCTTGTTTTACAGTGTACCTGCCATGGTCGAACAGTCACCGCTATGGCCACCGAGGAAAGGCGGGAGTGTTAGTACATCCGTGGACACTGAACTTTAACGGAAACCGCTCCCGCTTGACTGTCAGTACTTTGACCCAAATGTAATAATTAACCGGAAAGAAATCTGATGATTTACTGCATTTCTTTTATATTACAGTGCGTGTGTGTTTTACAACTCATTCCGTAGATTTATGAATAACTGAGTGTGTTATTGAAAACTAATGATGGAGCTTTTTTTCGCTCGGTTACATTTCACCGACTAAACTCACCACCGTTCACGGGTGGACTTCAATCTAACTGATATAGCGACTACGAAAATAAATAAATAGATGTAGTTGAATTACACTTTTTGAGCTGCATACATATTCCATGATTTCAAGCCATGTCCATTTACACTATACATGACGTTATTTATTTTAGTTTGCTGGCAGATATTCGCAACTTCGCTAAGCACTGGGAACACTGGGTGACGGCCTCGCTGGGGAATTTACCGGACGAACTGGCGAAAGGCAAGATTCCGATTGCCAGACAATTCGTACAGGCGTTGAAAAGACAAACGTCCTTTCTACACTTAACCCAGGTAGGATTCGTTTATGTGTCCCAGTTGATAGTGAAATTATAATATTCGATTTTAATCTAAGCACAGATACACGAGCATGTATATACCATTCATCAATTGACTCGTATTTTCTCTAGACTTCGAGACCAGTTTTATTCGACCAACAGTTGGTAGATCAAATGATTGACGACCTGGACAAAGTAGATCTTCAGAGCATTGGCACACAAGCACTGATATCGAACGCCAGCGACAGCGACCAAGATAATGATCTTAACACGGAACGTAAGTATCCATAGCAACACGTATATATTCGGAGTAGTATCCGACACCATGGAAACCAGACCCGTGTGAGTTTGGTTGCCAGGTTACCTGACTGAAGCCCAGATACAGCTACTAGTATCTCATTTCTTGGTTATAAGTTCATAATTGCTTCCATGGAAACCAATTACTGTATCTCTATGACCAACTGACCTAGTGACACAGTTTCTTATTTTCATAACCTCGGAGGATATACATATTTTAAGAGAACACTTGTACATTACAGTTACACACTTATTTGATCCCATGGTATATACCACTGCCATGTACGTGTGTAAAACGTGGCATTTTTTAGCGGTTCATGAGTAAGCAACAGCGCCACCAGTGTCAATCCTGCAATATTTACTACAAATCCCTGCAGATGACGTTGTTAATGCATGCCTGTTTTTCTCTCTTGATACTGCACGCTTTTTCTCTTTCATATTTGTTTGTTCTTCAAATTGTACGACATTTTTCAAAATCAAGCCTGTACACCCGTTTCAGTCTTGAAGGAATTCAAAGAATTACTTAAGAAGCAGGCGACAGTGGAAGCGTTTACAGAATGGCTGGACCAGGTTGTTGAAAGCAGAGTTATTAAGGTAAAACCAACACACCTTTGCTATAAATTGCGTCCTCTCGTGACGTAAATGGGTGAAAGGTATGTCCGACACAGTTCAAAATTGTTTTGATAGGTAGACGTTCGTTCAATAATAGAACAATTCAAGATGATGAAACATTATCTAGATATATATTTTTGAAAAATCCCCACATTCATTGTGTTTATTATGTTTTAGTGAACAGAGCCATGAAGACATTTTCTGTACTATTTTATAAATCACATTTTAGTTCACCTCATGACGGCATACAAATTTAATTTGAGTTTATTTTATTTTATTTACAGCCAAGTAAACAGAATGGAAGATCAATGAAAAAACGAGCCCAGGATTTCTTACTGAAATGGTCTTTCTTTGGTGCCAGAGTTATGCATGCCCTGACACTGAATAATGCCCAAAGTTTTGGTGAGTAATAATGAAGTGCCACAAGCGGTGAATGTGAATTTCCTTTGTTTTTATTGGGACATCATTCCACCAATTAGAGAAGCGCAGCTGGAAATCACGTGATTAAAGATTTATTGAAAGCATCCCTGAAAATCATTAATACAGAATATTTTGATGAATATGTTTTTTTCTTTATTTTCAGGATCTTTTCATCTGATCCGAATGTTATTGGACGAGTACATCCTGCTTGCCGTTGAATCACAGTTCAATAATGAAAAAGACAACGAGTTGCAAAATATATTAGAAAAACATATCAAGATGTCTGGTTAGTCAATTATTTCTAGTCCAAAGTGCACACAAAACAACAGACAACAGCCTCTAAAACAACAAATACTACAGAGGAAACACTAATTTAGATGACTGATGTTGATGGAACATAAGCCTAATGATGCATACACCTGAAATGACACATCAAACATAACTGAAATGATACATCAAACATAACTGATGTGATACATCAAACACATATAAAATGATACATCAAACATAACTGACATGATACATGAAACATACCTGACATGATACATGAAACATAACTGACATGATACATGAAACATACCTGACATGATACATGAAACATACCTGACATGATACATGAAACATAACTGACATGATACATGAAACATAACTGACGTGATACATGAAACATAACTGATGTGATACATGAAACATAACTGACATGATACATGAAACATACCTGACATGATACATGAAACATAACTGACATGATACATGAAACATAACTGAAATGATACATCAAACATAACTGACGTGATAAATCAAACATAACTGATATAACACATCAAACATTACTGAAATAATACATCAAACATGAATGAAAAACTTGTTAGAACCAGAAAAAATAATAGGCTCTGGTAAATTCGTTTTCCTGCATGTTTTTTTAATTTTTTTTGTCCAAAAATCATTTCCCCCTAAAAATCATACCCTTAAATTTCAATTGACATGCGTCCAGCAACGACCAAAAACATGAATACTTATTTTGGGCCATAGTAATGCTACAATTGTAATTGTTTGGTGATTTAATTCTAGTATTTTGACTTTGGAGAATGAAGGCCTGAAGCCAGGCACACAAGACGTATATGAAAATAAAGGATTTTTGTATCTCAATTTCCAGATCCAACTAAAAACCGAGCTGCCTTCAATGACTCTCAGCGTCCTCTATCAGCCCAACCGGGCACGTGTTTTGTTGCCAACCGAACGGCAAGTATCAGCTTGCCAAGACAGACAATGACCAATCAACAGATGTCATCATCATCATCGTCTTCAGTAAACGTGAAGACTTAATAGAACTGTCACATCAACCGCAGTATTTGCCTCCTCACCAGCTGACTTTTTCAGAACGTGAACCACCTTTTGCGATTCCGTATGTGCACAACCAAAGCTATCAAACAAACACTAGTGGACGCCCTAATATGTTAACCCCGCCCATATCGCCTATTGTTCATGTGAATTCAATCAGAAATCCCGTACTGAATCAGCGACATCCGACAATCCCTCTTCTGACCACGGGCAGCAACACATCAACACTGGTAGCGACACCATCACACCATCCGTCAGCTTACCCATACATCCAATCACAGCCCGCCGAACCGTACTCGTCGTCATATCCGTCATACCAAAATGCAACTTACTCTACTGGACCAATCCGACCACACCCAACATATTCAGCAAATGCGTTACCATATCATATCAAGGATTCAGACACCCCGTACCCGCCATACGGGGAAGTTCAGTACCGAGATGAAAACTATTACAGTGCTGGTAGCTGTGCTTATCCACTGTCTCATTCACCGGATGTCATATCTAGTCAGAGTACAGCGGGGAGCGCATTCAACATAGTTCCTAATTATACTACTGCGACAAATGGCTATCAAACAACACAGCCTGGTAAGTAATCGTATCCATGACAACATTACATCATGTTAGATCAGGAGAAAAGGGGATGATTTCAAGAGGACATGTTTTTTATTATTTTGATTTAATGTCACTAGGATACAGAAACTGACAGTGTGATGAGATTTTTTTTCATTATAATCAAGTTCTCTCCCATAATGCAATGCGCATATCTTTAGCAATATGCTCATGAGCGCAAAATTTGATTTTGCTTTAAACTCACTTTGTGATCTGTATGACTTCATGCGACAGAAATAAACAATTCAACATCTGAATATCAAAATAAATAATCTAAAAATAATTCTATTCCTGGTTTATACCTGTGTTTAGCAGTGACCGTGCCTCAAACCACTGTTGTGTCTTTCAGGTTACTACACCTACCAACCCAACAAACCAGAACATGTCGAACACGTATCAGTTATCAGCAGTACTCAGCATGCTTTGGGGAACCGTACCGATCCTACGCACTACAATGAAACGACAGACCCTTTACATTTACTGGATCGACCAATCAGGCGTACACCACCAAAAGATGCTGGACCAGCTTTGTATGGTGGCAGAACACCAGTATGTAATAGTCCTGCAGGTAAAGCATACTAGTAACTGGTACAATCACATGTTTATACCCTCATTTGCATAACTAATTCATGTTTAGCATATCCTTGCTTGTCTGCCATTTTGATCTGGTGGCCTTGCTGTTTTCTGTTCTAAATATGATTTCGCATTGTGTTGACATGCCAAACGGTATAAAAAGATGGCAAACTCTTTCTCACACTTAAGTGCACGTTTTTCGTCTAAATATTTACTGGCGGCTTGGTTGAAGAGATGACATGTGCCATGCTACTGGTCTGTATACTGTTGAATGACATGTGCCATGCTACTGGTCTGTATACTGTTGAATGACATGTGTGGAACTCTGTGGAAAGATGAATTTGCTGGCAATCTGGTATGACCATACTTGGCAGATATTAAATATTGCCAAATATTAAAGGATGTGATCAATAAAACTAATGACACTTCATAAATAATGGATGTTATTTGGACTTTCAGGACAACACCAGACAGTTTCAGCGAAGATTCCTTAGCGGTCGTCATAACGATGGTAATCTTGGCACTGATGAACTCATCAATATGGGATTAAGCAGTATATTTAATCCAGATGGAGACTTGGAAGGAATCCAGTCGACCAATCACCAGCACGTTCAAAATGACCCTGCATCATCTCTGCCACCAATCACTGCAGTCTTTTTGAGTTAAAACTATCATTTTATACACTTTCTCAGTTCTTTGATGACACCATATTTGAGAATCAACTAAAAGACCACCTTGAGATTTCAGTTGCAACCAACTCATAGATTTTTTTTTTTTATTTTGGCAGTTCAAGAATTTATTCAATGTTAAACAATCATTAAAATCTTCAATGTCCACTTATTTTAGTGAAGATGAAGTTCAGGACTCCCTAGGCTGGTGTAGAAAAAAAGTGGCGCAATATGAAAGGGGAAGTGCAATCAATTTTAAAATAATTAGAAAATAGATTATTTTTGAAAACAGTATTAATTTTAAAAAGGAACTCAGATATTTTGAAGTTTCAAAATTGACTTTTTTTTCTGTTAAGGACCTCTAAACTTTTGTATTTTGCCAATATATTTAGGCTATGGAACTTGTGTTGAAATTATTTTGAATTCTCAAACATTGCATGATGGGAAATATTTGTATTCACACACAATGCATGATGGGATATATTTTTAATTCCCATACAGAGCATGATGGGATACTAGGAACTACACGCCTGAATCGGGGGGGGGGGGGTTACTTGATCAGCCTAATTTCCTAAATTAGTATTCAGTAGACATCCTGCAGTTAGTATAAATTTGCATAATAATATAATTACTGAGCCTTAGCTGATTTGAATATCTCTCGTGTCAAAGCAAATTTTTTAGTTAGAATTAGTTAGAATTTATTGTTGATATGTATTATGTTTAAAGTTTTCACAGCACAACATAGCATTACAGAGTTTTTGGCAGAGGAATATTTAAAAAAACATGGATCACAATTTTAACAGCAAAACATTAAAAATTTGAATTTATTACAGTACGAGGGCGCTGTTTCCCTGCATTGTCTTGGTACACTTGCACTAGTTTTGCTGCTAACATTTCTTGCCATTGTAACTTGTAGTAGTTTGTTTATTATATCTACGTTTTGTGTATTTGCTATTAAGTAGACAGCTGCACGTTCTACCTCAGTGTGGGTTTTTCTCTCTTTTAGCAAACAAAATATTTTAACATTTTAAATATTTTGTGTCTGAAAACCTTTCATTTGTTTTCTTCACAACCTTTCAAGGAATTTTTTTTTTTAGAAATTCAGAATAAAAAGCTGACATATTCAGGATTGAAGCTGGAAAAAGAATGTAATTTTTGTAGTTGTGGCGTAAAGAAGTAGACAATTTTGTACGACTTTTCCATGGTTTTTGGAATGGGGGGAAAAAAACAACTTTTTTTTGTAAAACTACTCTTACTTTTGGTACTAGAATTCGATATTTGGCATAAGTGTGTGTTTTTTTATAATTAGAGGATTTGTCATATATGCCAAACTGTACTTAATTCAGACAACAGAACAATTGTTCTGATCTTCCTGCAAATTAATGATCACATCTGATTGGAGGACGGTTATTAGGATACTTAACATATCATCCATGTGCAGTTGACAAATCAATGTCAAAAAAATATATTGTGCCATTATTAGTCATTTTTATTTTAGTTTTGTGTGCTGAACTAGTTGTCATCAGCAATTAATCAAAGTTGTGTTGATGTTTTATTATCTATTTATACTATGGGTTTTACTATGTTAGAAGTGTTTAATGTAATGTTTCAAGAGCTTTTTTTCTTCATATATGACAAAACACTTGACAAGCTTCGGAGACTTAAATTGCAGTTTACATCAACAAGTGCCAAACTACATATCCATATGTGACCATTCATTTTTACAATATCCAGATAATGACGGTAATTCAGTTCAGAGAAAACCCAAACTGAAATGCTGATTCAGGCAACTGTGTTGAAGTAGCGCGCTACGTCATTATTCACCATCAAATATAGCGAACTATGAAGGTGTTCTCTGATTGGATAAAAGATTAGATGCCAGGGTTGAGTAGCCAATGACAGGGCATGACAAGTTATGTTTATAGTGATTTCACAAATGTATCTTTCTCACATATACAACAATAAACAACCTGTTTCCTAAGGATCATGTGATTGCCATTACCTTGAAGCCACTTGATTGGCTTAAATGTGCAAGGATCAAAACAGACAGTGTTAAACAAAGTATTTCTTACTAAGACATTAGTCTGTATAAATGGTAGAGTTTTGTCTTGTTTTTTTTAACTCTTTTTAATGAAAGCCAGGTGCATGTGTGTATCAATGTAAATGTTTGTTTTATTTATCAAAAAGTGATTTGAAGATTTGTGGGGGATTTCTACAGCAAAAAAGAATTCAAGCCAAATGTGTGGGTATAAATTTGAAATGTAAAATATATATATTTTATTGGTAAAGTGGAATAAATAAATTGTTGTACTATGAACGTCAGTCTGGTTTTATCTTTCACTTTTGTGTTCAACTAGGGTACTTCTGAATATTACATCACTATTTCCATGATTGCTGTAAATACATTTAGAACATAATTTTCTTGCTCTTGGACATAGAGGTTGTGAGGTGGCTAGGTGGGGGTGGGGTTTGGGTGCATTAATTTACCTGGATTATTATGTGTCAGCTATATAGGCATGTTAACTTCACACATATCAATATACAAGTAAAAAGGGGTGCAACTTAAAATGCAACAGCACAAAATTAATCCAGCAACAGTTTCCTGGCGATGCTGACCATCATCGG